GCAAGAAATAAATTGACCAAAATACCCTTGAAAAATTAGGGGGTATTTTGATTAATTTAGTTATTGCGAATTATTTTTTTAAAATATTTTTATTAGGTGCGCCTTGATGAGAAGAATGGACACCTAAAATTTCAAGTTATTTGGATTTGTAGAAAAAAAGTTAAAATTAGAATACGAAATGAAGTCGTGACTGTCAGATCAGTCTAGATTTAATTTGGGCTGTCGGGCTCATATGTTCATATGAGCTAGTGGGCTAATCTCAGCATTTTCCCTATATAATAACTACAAATCATAATCTTATATTATGCCATCTTTACATATTTGATTTTTTCACTCTGTACCATATTTGAATTCACACTTCTATAACTTACCTTTTATTTTAATGATCTGTATTTTTTATCCAATTTTTTTCTCCGACTTTTAAAATAAAACTGACTTATTGCGGATGTTTTGGTATGCAGACATATTATTCCCCGACTTGCTGAGACGAAGGGTGCACACGACCTTATGAGCACGTCTATCTATATTGGACGGTGGGTGTTTGTATAGCTAATTGCTATAGTATATTTTACCGCTGAGGATACGTACATAAGGGTATATGCCTCTTTGGAGCAAGAGGTTTTAGGTTTATTAGGGTTTCAGTTGGTGGCGCTTTTTCCCTCTGTCTAAAGAGTGAAAGGTGTGAACTCGTGTTTGCAGAGAGAGAAAGATTTCTGTAACCCCTTTCTAGAGAGAGAGAGATAGAGAGAGTTCTCCAATTTTGGTTAAAATAGAGAGAGATAAACCAGAGGTCCAAAACCAGCAAAATGGTTCAGTATAATTTTAAGAAGATTACTATGGTGCCCTCTGGTAAAGACTTCATCGATATCATCCTTTCTCGTACCCAACGGCAAACCCCAACGGTGGTTCACAAAGGATATGCCATTTCTCGTCTTCGCCAATTCTATATGAGAAAGGTAAAATACACTCAACAAAACTTCCATGAAAAACTATCTGCAATTATCGATGAATTTCCAAGATTAGATGATATCCACCCCTTTTATGGTGATCTACTCCATGTTCTCTACAACAAAGACCACTATAAACTAGCCCTAGGTCAAATCAATACAGCTAGAAACCTAATTTCCAAGATTTCGAAGGACTATATTCGTCTCCTTAAGTACGGTGATTCCCTTTATCGATGCAAAACCCTAAAAGTTGCAGCTTTGGGTCGAATGTGCACAGTTTTGAAGAAAATTAGCCCCAGTTTGGCCTACTTAGAGCAAATTAGGCAACATATGGCTAGGCTTCCTTCTATTGATCCAAACACCCGAACAATTCTCATATGTGGTTATCCGAATGTTGGGAAATCTTCATTCATCAACAAAATTACCAGAGCTGATGTGGATGTTCAGCCTTATGCTTTCACTACGAAGTCTTTATTTGTGGGTCACACTGATTATAAGTATTTGAGGTACCAAGTTATTGATACGCCTGGTATTTTGGATCGACCACTTGAAGAGAGAAACATAATTGAGATGTGTTCTATAACTGCTTTGGCCCATCTTAGAGCAGCTGTGCTCTTCTTTCTCGATGTTTCGGGGTCTTGTGGTTATAGCATCGCTCAACAGGCTGCTCTTTTTCACAGTATAAAGTCTCTTTTCTTGAACAAGCCTTTGTTGGTTGTGTGCAATAAAATAGATTTGCAGCCTTTAGAGAGCCTTTCGGAGGAAGATAGGAAGTTGGTTATGGAGATGAAGGATGAGGCTTCGAAAACTCTTAATGGGGGAGATGACCCAGAATTGGCAAATGGCGTTCTCTTAACTATGAGTACTTTGACTGAGGATGGGGTCATAACTGTGAAAAATGCGGCTTGTGAGAGGCTTTTGAACCAGCGGGTGGAGATGAAATTGAAGTCTAAGAAGATTAATGACTGTCTGAATAGGTTCCATGTTGCTATGCCAAAGCCTCGAGATGGGAAAGAGAGGCCCCCTAGTATACCCCAAGCTGTTATTGAAGCAAAGGCTGCCCAGGCAACTGTGGAGAGAGAAAAGATGAAGCTTGAAAAAGACTTGGAGAACGAGAATGGTGGTGCTGGTGTTTACTCCGCTAACCTAAAGAAGAATTACATCTTGCCTAATGATGAATGGAAGGAGGATATAATACCTGAGATCTTTGAAGGTCACAATGTTGCTGATTTCGTGGACCCTGATATCTTGCAGAGGCTTGAGGAGTTAGAGAGAGAAGAGGGACTTCATATGGAAGGTGAGAATGAGGAGGATGACGAGATGGATGAAGAGAGAGAGTTGTCTTTGGAAGAGAGAGAAGCACTGGCTGAGATTAGGAAGAAGAAGAGCTTACTGATCCAAGAGCATAGGATAAAGAAAAGCACAGCGGAGAGCCGCCCTATCATACCAAGAAAATTCAACAAGGACAAGGCGTTCACTAGTGAGAGAATGGGGCGAGATCTCTCTAGATTGGGGCTTGACCCAAGTGCAGCAATAAACAGAGCTAGGAGTAGGTCAGTTTCTCAAAGGGGTAGGAAGAGAGCGAGGTCTCTGGCAATTGAAGATGAAGATGAGGGTATGGATATTGATCAGCCCAACAAGAAGTTTAGAATGAGGTCTCGATCTAGGTCCCAGTCAAGAGCCCCACGTGGTGAGGTTGTTCCTGGTGAAGGTTTCAAGGATTCAGTTCAAAAGACTAAGGCTCTGAAGCTTGGTAAGAAGGCGGTGAAGAAGAGAAATAAGGATGCTCGTCGCGGAGAGGCGGATAGGGTGATTTTGAACATGAAGCCAAAGCATTTGTTCTCAGGAAAGAGATCAATTGGGAAGACTGATAGGCGTTAGGAATGACGTACATTTTCAGGTGCTGAGGTGTTTTTTGTTAGGCTTTAATTATTCTGGCGAGTTTTTGGGTCTGGCTATTTTGATTTTGGGCATTTGTTGTTCTTGTAATGCTCTTGTTTTATGAGGAGAAACCACTTTAAAAGTTGTTATGTGTGCGGTCAATATAGACTTAGTAGTGTAATCTTCTTTGAAGACATTGAGAATTGAATTAGAGTAAGCTGAGCTGTGTGGTTGTCCTTTCTTGAATTTTTATTGTTTTGAAACTTTCAGGAGTTTTCATTTGTATACCATAAGCATATTAAGCCTGAGCCTAATTTTTTAAATACTGTCAGGAATTGTTGATTTACAGTAACCTTATGCTATTCTGGTGCTCCAGTTATGATATTGGTTCTTAGTTAAGTGTAGAGCAGAAAGATACAGAACTTCTGGTGAGTGAAAGAACCATTGCTATATTTGATGATGTCCTCAAATAATATGCTTGATTTTACAATTTTTCTTGATATGCTTTTCACTTTAGTGGTTCCATTTATATTGCATTGACCAAGGATTCTTCATAGAAATGCATGAGCACCATTTTTGCCATGGACTTCAAGAATCCTCTCATATCGGCTTCACTTGCATCAATTTTCACTTCAATCCATTCTTCTACATTCGAAGTGTTGATCTAAATATTTTATTCTGTTTTCCTTGTTCTCTAGTTTTGGAAAGCTGTTCTGATACTTTAGGAAAAAAGCCTAGAGTACTTAACCCAACTTCCTTAGCTTCCATCTTCTTTTGCTACTCTCATGTTTCCAAATCCTCCTCAATTTGTCAGTGCTATGGATCCTAAACTCAGGTCTCCTGCTGCTTAAATTTACAAATTTCCCCCAATTGAATAAATGAAGTCATGAGATCAATACAATCGAAAGAAAATTCTGTGGGCTTCAGTATTTCCCCACCATAAAAATTGACTTTAAATTCACAGTATTTATTTTTCCTTCAGCAGAACTTCTATTTGAAAGAGTGACATTTGGATTTGTATTGATTGAACGGCAGCCTTAAGTGCCAACAGTGATTACAACAAACAACAACGACGACGGTGACTAGAAACAATGGCAAGAATAGTGAATGTGTGCTTCCGTAGTGTTTTTGCTCCGTGCTTAGGTGGTGTGGCATCCCATTTGAACAATTTTCTTTGTGAAATAATATGGACAGATTTATTCAAAAATAGCATGGACAGTTGAAATATTAGGCTCCATAAAATATGGACTCTTGAAATTTCAGTTGATAGTGATGGTGTTTCTGATTGGTCATCGTATGGCACTCATGGTCAAGCCTTAGTTCTAAACACGTAGGTTTTGGTTGTTTTTGCATATCTTATCACTATATCATGCCATCTGAGTATTGGCCCCTATGACACCCTAATCTATTTATACAATGCTTGTACTATGTTTATGTTACAGTGTTTATGCTGAGTTTGCAATGCAATGTTTTGTTACTACTCCTTAAGCATATCTCATTTAGCAATTCCGTGCTAGGATATTTGGCTGGCTATGGTAAGGTTTTCCTTGGTTCTTTCTTCAGTATTCCATTTTGCTATTGTTTGCTACAAACTGAGCTTCTGTCATGAATTTCTCTCTATTAATCTTGCTTAGCTCTATATATCTACCTTTTTTTTTTAGCTCTATATATAAACCAGTACTTGAAGAACATTGTTTTTCTTAAATGGGATGATACACAAGGTTGGCATATAAGAACTTATTTCTTTAAGAAATGGTACTAACTTGTATTAATTGCTGTTAAAAGAAACAGTTCTGCTGTACAATATCGAGGTCCCCTACGGGACCAATGAATGCACTGAAAAACCAAACAGCCACAAAAAGGGGTTCCTCGTAGCTAGGCAGGGGCTTGTTACAAAAGTTGCCCCTGTTTAGCAAGGGTATCTGCTATTGAGTTGGCCTCTCCCTGTACATGTCTAAAGGATACCTGAATGAGTTTGTGGAGCTTGTAGATTTTATGAAAAACATGCTCCAAATGCCATGGACAAGTTGAAGTTCTGTTGGTGCAGTGTATGACAGTCTTTTAGTTGCCCTCTACCATCAGTGAAGAACCCATGCTTGATTGAACAGCTTGAGGCATGTAAGCAGCACATGTGCCTCAGCTTCATTTGCTAGGCTAATGGACCCTGCAAATGAAAAGGTTGTGGAACCAATTATAATTCTAAATATACAATGCCCTGCCCCTCCCGAATTACCGAGAGACTACCAAAGTCTAGCTTTGCAGTGCCAATCCCTGGAGTGAGCCAGTGTGAGGATCTTGTAGTCGACAAAAGGGAGGAATGTGCAATCTGATACCAGTTCACCAGGAAGGCTTAGAAAGAGGATGTGCGGAAATCTTTATGAGTTCTAACCCATTCTAAAGAGTGCAGCAAATTTTTGTCCTCTACCCTACCCTAAAAAATCCTTCTATTTAACTCCAAAACATAATGTCCACCGTACGGCTAGGATGGAAGCTTGCCAAAATGGGTTCAGTCCTTCGGGAAGGAGGGGTATGGTGTGCTGTGAAAAGTTGCTAGATATTGCCAGGATAGGCCTCGGAGCCTAGGAAAATGCTAAATAAGAAGGCCCAAATATTACTAGCAGCCTCACAATGTAAGAAATGGTTATCAGCTGAGTCCTCACTTCCCTTGCACAAAATAATTCTATTGGGAAGATGAATGCCTCTATGCTGGAGCTGGTCTACCTTGAGGACTTTCTTGCTTATGACTAACCAAACAAGAGCCTGTCACTTAGGGGGAGCCACAGCTAGCCACACCTTATTTGCGAGGACAGGGAAAAGGGTGGTTGGTATGAGCTGATTATATAAAGGGACCACTGAGAAGGACCCGGAGGAATCAGACTTCCATTCAATCCTGTCCCTGCCTTGAGAAGATAATGTGAATCAAGCAGTGCCATTAGGGCCTCAAAATCTCAAATCTCCTCCTCAGTCAGGTCCATTCCAAGGCTTGGAGACCTGACCACCTTTCCACCCAGGACGTCATACTCATCTGAGACACTCCTTTCTTGGTCTGCAGCCAAAAAGAAAAGGTTGGGGAGTTTTACCTCCAAAGTGCTATCTCCCACCCATCAGTCTTTCCACATTCGGGTTATTTCACCAGTTGTAGCCGTGGAATGAATGTGGGCTAAGAGGGTTGGAGACACAGAAATGCATTTCCAGGCCCTTGAGACTCTAGAATTGTTTATGGCTTTTGGCAGCCGGTCCAAGTTTGAGGTATTATTGATCACCCTTCACCATAGATGATCTTCTTGTGTCATGACTCATGAAGCACCACCACCATTTTCCAATATTACCGACTTTGTTTCCTCTGGTTGTCTTATTTCCAAGCCTCTGGCCCTTTTGGGTTTGCAAAACGTTTCCCTCTTCATAAGATGGAACTTGTGGTCAGCGTTGGCCCGCCCAAAGGAAATTCCTCAGGTTCTCGAGCCGGTTTACAATTGACATCAGCATTCTAAAAAATAACATTTGGAAGATAGGGATGTTGGATGAGGTCTCTCCTGCCCCTTATAGAGAGGAACCAGTCCTTAGTGAATGTTATCCTGTCCCTCGTAGAGAGGAAATGAGCTTTCCATTTAATGACTGAGCTTATGGGTTTCTTTGCCATTATCTGTACATGCAGGCAATTACAGCTTCCAAGAATGGAGCATATTTGCTGACGTGTGGCTTCAAAGAGAAGCCCAAGTTTAACCCTTCCAGGCTTGCCAACGTGAGTTACCTTCCATGATTATTGGTTGAAATTTGGATTCTTGAGATGTTATTATTGGTTTGGTTTCTTCTTCCTAGTTAAGCTCTGTCATGTGCTCAGAAGTTTTTGAGCAGACTATGACAAATTAGTCTTGTTATTTTAGTGTTCTCTTTAGGATGGCTGATTGAGTTGCTTTTCCATCGATTCTGAATGGGGTACTCATGGAATAGGGAAAAAAGAAAAAGAAGAAAAGTACCATTCTGAAAGGCACCTTTGTTTTCAGGAGAGAGAGAGAGATGTTTGCTTGGTTTGATTCAAGGTATAAAGAGGAGCAGAAAGATGAACCACCATCGTTAGTGATGGTGAGGTTTGAGCCCTAACCTCATCGATCAACATCAATTCCCTCCATGAACCACCAAAATACCAACAGCACCTGAAGCCTGGACAACACTGCATGACCCTGCGTCAAATCTACCACATTTTTATGGAGCTCACAACACATCAAACCAAATGAGATCTAAACATCAAAAACCCCAAATCAAAATATCATTACTCGAAAACCCCAAACCAATCATCTACAAGCTTCCCATAATAACCCTGGAGTAAATTTACACCAATAAAAAGACTAGATGGTAATAACCCCAAGTTTCTTGAGCTCCATCTTCCAAAGCCCTCTCCTTCAAAGACCTTGTAACCCAAATAAAAAACCAACCTACTGTAAACCCCAAGCCTTCATACCAACCACCATCTAACCCTCCCCTGAATGTAAACCATCATCCACAGCCACCTAAAGAAATGAGCTCCAGAGTAATATCCATTTGAGACCGTGTCCTATCCTAGAAGCTGAAAACATACTGAGGATGCTTGTTGATTATTTCCTCTCCTAGTGGCATGATATCAAGGGTCTCACCCATGGGGGATATCTGTACTTAATTTCCTCACGTAAGTCTCCCCCATGGGAATATCTGGATTCAATTTCCCCACCTAAGCAGCAGTTTTGAGGGCTCTGGATATTTGTTCTCTTTTGACCAAATTTCTATTGAAGCAGTATTTTGATTCAATCAGAAATGATTAATGATTCTATCATTTATGTAGAAGATGCACCAAAATGTTACTTTCGAGGGAGCCAAACTTCATCTTTCACCCTGGTCTCCCTCAAGAGGGCCTCTCAAACCTAAGAAACTCTGGATTAAAGTGATGGGTATTCCCCTACACGCATGGCACCTAGAGACCTTCAAACAAATTGGAAATTGGTGTGGTTTGTTCATCAGAAGCAACTGGAGCAACTTGAGGTTTGATCCGATGGGCTCCACTCAAATCCTGATTGGATCCTTAGATAAAACCCATATTCCTTGAAGCTGTCCAATTCTCATACAATATCAAAATTTCCCATGAATTTAAGAAGAACGAGAACTCCCCGCAGGCTGCAGGAAACCAGATCTGCCTTAGAAGAGAGCTGAAAGCCTGGAGCATGGAAACCTAGACCATGGTTTACACTTCTTGTATTAAAAGGTATGCGTATACAATAAATGACCCCCTGTTGGAGCAGTGGCCCAAATGGGCACTATACAGTAAGAACAAGAAAAC